ACTTAGATAAAATCTTTATAAAAAAATCTTTTATATACTTATAATTATATATTATTATAATAATATAATTAATAAATTTTAAATCAGAATCTTTTAAATTTTAATAAAAAGTAAATCTATTTATTACTACTGATAATAATATTAGATTATTTGATTGATCACTAAAATTATAGAATTTATATATAATAAAAATAATAATAAATTAAATTATAAGATCAAAAAAATTTAAAAAATAAATAATTTTTTAAAAAATGATGATAATTCAAATTTTATTTTAAGAAAAAATATTTCTTACAAATTTTACTCTAGAATAACTAATTAATATTTTTAATAAGATGATTATATCAAAGTACTAAAAATTTTTTCATAAAAAAATCTGATATTATTACTGATAGTAATAAATATATTTTTTCTTTAATAAAATATAATATGTAAAAAAAATTTAATATATGATTAATTTCTATATAATTATTTATAAAAGAACTTTTATATGATTAACTAATCTGAATAAATTACTTAAGTATTACTTAGATAATTAGATAACTAATTTATATATTTTAAAATACTTTAATATTTTATCTATATTAAAAAATAAAAAAATTTAGATTTATCTTTAAAAAAATATTAATATACTATACAAAAGAATCTTAAAAGAATTCAAAATCTTGTAATATTTTACTTAAAAGATAAATATGTTCTTATTACTAAATTATGTATAATTATTATATGTTAAAAAATTAACTTATTAAAAAAAGATAATTAAATATATTCTTATTAAAGATCAATTAATAATACTTTATTAAGTTATATAAAAAAAGATAATATAATTTGTTTAAATTATTATAATAGAATAACTTTTATTTATATATTAATTTTTTGAAATAAATTTATTAATAATACAAAAAAAATTTAATAATGTATTTGAATTTAACTGATACATTTAATACTTTTATAAATACTCTTGCAAACTTAGATATAGTTATAATATCTCACTACTATATCAGAAGAACATGTAAAAATTATTAATTCTGTACTTGCTAAATATGCTAATAAAGTGATAATGTTGAATATTAATAATTATCATAGTATTCATACAAAAATAAATATTAAATATAATCATAATATCTATAACTATATATTTAGTAACAATTCTAATAAATTCAATTACCACATAAAATATAATTTCAAAGATAAATATATATATAATTCTAATACTAAATAAATTAAAATAAATCTGAAGAATAGATTTATTATATCTTATGATCTTTTACATAATCAATATTAGAGATACAGTATGCAATACTTAAAGATGGAAATTAAATTTAAAAACTTTAAAAAGTAATGAAGGATGATATAGCAGTAATACAAAAAAAGAAGGCCACTATTTTGAAGCTAAGTCAATTTACTACAAATTGTCAGTCTTCTTTTTTAAAAATAATTACTTATTTCTGAGTTATATCCATTTAAAAATATCTTGTTTTATATATTCAGAGTGATAAGTAGCCAAAATAAGATATAATTTCTTCACGTATCTTTATGATTGACCAATTAAATTATGAAATACGTAAAATCTAATTTTATTGATTAATTATAAATCATGTTTTTTAAATTAATTTGCTTGTTATGTATATTTTAGGTAAAATTTATTTAATTAAAGTATATCTCGATAAAAGAAACAATTTATCAGACTTCAAGAATATAATAATAAAAGAAGAAAACTAGCTCAAGAAAATCAGGAAAAAGAAATTTTAGAAGAGGAGAGAAGTTTTAAAGAAGAAACTATTGAATTTTATAGAGAGAAGGAGGAAAATGAAGCAACTGATAGGGCTGACGAAATTGCTAAAGAGGAGAAAACTAACAAAATCAACAAAATTGATGAAATTGATGAAATTGATGAAGAACAGAAGATATAGATATGTCTACTTACAACTTTGATATGGAAGAATGCAGAAAGAGAGAATACAAGAATAATAAAAGGAATACCAAAAACAACTTATTATTGTAAATTTAGCACTTTTAATTCACTTGCCAAGACTGTCAGAAAACATATAAAATTACTAATTTTTTTGCCAGTGGGTCTTTGGTATTTTCAGCAACTTCAATACATACATTTTTCATATCTACATCCTTTGAGTCTTCAGCACTTTCAGTATCAGATAAAGATGATGCAGAAGCAATACTTTGCAAAAGAGTTACTTAATTTCAGAATGAACTTCTTGAAAATGGACAAATTTTCATAGTTTTCAAGTATAACAGATGGTGTGCTATTTATGAATATTTAATATGATTAAATGATAATAGAAAAATAAAAGCTAGTCAGGAAGCTACAGATATGATCTATATCACTTCAACATCATATACAGCTAAAAAAATTCATTTTTTGACCAAATTTTATTTGCAATATAAATCATTTTCGCTCTCAAATTATGATCAATACCAAAAATACAAGTAACTTGTTGATAATGAAAATATAACATTAGCTTGTCATCAATAGATATGACAAGAATCAGGAGTAAATGGCATTAATTTGTCCTAGTTTAAACAGTATATCAAAGATGTTATTCTGCCAGAATATATGGATATCAAAAAAATGATTAGCTTGCGAATAGCCAAGAGATAGTTGAATATCTTGGATTATCAATTTGAATAATATCAGAAAGGAATATACTTTGATGGACATGAACAAGAGGATGTTGTTGCATATTGAGAAAATTTTTTAAAGATAATAGAAAAATTGGAATGATAAATAATGAGATATGAAGGAGAAGTAATGGAAATGATTCTGCCAGTACTCATAATAGGTAAGCAAGAATTAATTTTTGTCACTCATGATAAGTATATTTTCTATTCAAATGATGAAAAAAGGAGAATTTAAATGACAAACAGGCAAATGTCATTGCGAAAGAAGAGAAATAGGAGATTGATTATGATAAGTGAATTCCTTTCAGAGATGTGTGATCATTTAAAACTAAGTGAAGAAGAATTGACTGAACATCCAAATATTCTCATCAAGACATGTTGTTATCTTATACCTGGCAAAAACCAGAAAGATTATTAGACTGTTGAGCATCTACTAGAACAAATCAAGCACAAAGTAATTCCTATTTTTGAGATGAAGTTCTCTAATACAACAGCCATCTTTACCTTTGATAATAGTACCAATCACGCAGCATATATAAAGGATGCTCTTGTTACAGGAAGGATGAATCTGGATCCTGGAGGAAAGCAATCGATTATGTGATTGACAACTTTTATTGGTGTTGATAGATAATCAATAATCCAACAAATGATATTTACCAAAGATTACCCTAACCCTGCTTTATGAGGAAAACCAAAAGGAATAAAGAGAAAGAGATCTTTGGAAGAAAGAGTTGGTTTTAGATTGTCAGATATGTAAGAACAAGAAGTTAGCAGAGGGACCTCCACAGATAGACTATTGCGCGAGAAGGATTATGGTCTCTCAACCCAATTTTATAGTGTAAAAATCAGCCATTGTGGAGTTAATTGAAGATGCCAGCCATTTATGTATTTTTTATCCAAAGTTCCATTGTGAACTTAATTTTATTGAGATGTATTGGGGTGCAGCTAAGCACTATACGAGAAACCACTGTGATTATACGTAGGCTGGCTTGCAGGAAACCATTCCACGAGTACTTGATTCTGTGAATATTGTTATAATTAGAAAGTTTGCTCAAAAATCGTGGAGATACATGTAATTGTATCATGAAGGGTTAATGGGAAAATTAGCAGAGTATGCGTGTAAGAAATTTAGGTCACATAGATGGATTCCACAGAAGGAATTAGATGAGTTTATGATTAGTGAGAAATAAGTTTTGGATGACGAATGTATGTATTTGGATGGTGGGAAATGAATGTGTGTATTTGTGTAGGTGATAAACAGCGCTTTAATGAAGAAAATCAAGTTGAGGAACTTGATAACGATATTCCGTGTGATGATAAATGATGAAAATGAATCGGTGGAGTATACAATAGCTACGTTGGGAGGAGGCATTAAAAAAATTCAAATTACAATAGATACAGCATTATTGTTGAATTATCGCTTTGCTAATAATTAATATAACGTAAAATACATATTTATCGTTATCGTTATTGTTTATTGATAATAATAACATTGTATTACATTGCAAGTACGGCGTTGAATTACCAAATCTGTATAATCGACCCCTAATCGATCCTATGATGTAGATCTTATAAAAATCAGCCAATCACACAAAAGTCCCTCCTATGAAATGACGGGGGAAGATGGTCTGATATGGAGTGCACCAATAAATCCCGAATATATGAAGGTGTACCAATAAGGCGCCGACTAATGAATCAAAACAAAAAATGATTCATTAGTCTTGGCGACGCGGGATCGCGACGAGAATAGTGGGAAGAAATTTGATTATAAATAAGGAGGGCTTTAGAGTAGAAGCGAAAAAAAAGAGAATTACAATTAAGAATTAAGTTCAATTAAACTATAAAATAATTCACCATTGTAATAAAAGTTTTATAAAACAAAATAAAGATTACTATTCTTAAATAAACGCATACATTCCTTCGAATCATTATTGATCTGTCCCCACACTCTCTATTAATAAAGTAGTCTATCCTAAGGCTACGAACACTAAATAACGAAACTACGACACCGTGACGACGAATTGCCTTCTTAGGCAGGAACTGGCGCCATATCTTGAAGAACCCGATCAACTCGATAAAGGGTCGGAGTATTGATCGACGAAATTATAAATTAATTAATGGAAAACTAATTGGGAAACAACCCGTGATCGTACAGTCTCACGGATTACTCGGTAGATCCCCCGCATCTATTCCACCGGGTAACACCACCTTTCTCGTAGCTCTGGAGCACGGCATAGACATCTCCTTTGATATGATCGATCGCATCGGCATATAGTTCCCGCTTTGATTCTATGTATTGCAACATGGATATAATTGACCAATCTTTATATTCCACGCTGCCGAGATAGTCGAACACGATATCACGAAACATCTATAAAAGAAAAGAAAAAAAGGTCTGAGCTGTTGCTTAACACGTTCACAAGACAAAACCAACGGACCAGCACGATGACAGTCAACTGCATACTGGAAAACAGCATGCAGATATGAGCCTTCAGCACGTATGCTCAAGGGAGTTCTCCGCAGACTGCTGCCATGCATCTGACACAGGACAAAGGGCCATGTGCCAGTAAGTACGCGTAGCACACCCTGGTCACTGGCATGCAGATATGAGCCTTCAGCACGTATGCTCAAGGGAGTTCTCCGCAGACCAGCGCCAGTAGGGATGCGGTTGTTCAGGAAGTGACAGACGCGATACTGTAAAAAATTTTTCATAAACAAAAAGGGTGATGTCACAAGTTCACTTTGTTATATAATAATAAGCAACTGAAAATAGAACATAAAATTAAATGTTTTTATTATTAGCGATTAGTCAGTATTGATTATATGATTTTCGCACCGACGGAGAATTAAATAATTAAAACAATGCCGAGAAATTTTTACTCCCATTATTATAATTATTAACATTATTATAATTATTGATTAATTGATTATTTTGTTACATAATAATATTGTCCTCACACATTAAATCAAACCCTAAACCGTTTGCTTTACATTCAAACCATAAATGCGAAAAACCCTAACCCAAATTATAAATAAAACGCGACTAATAACGATAATAAAAAAAAGTCGATCACTCTAAAAGGAGAATAAAACTTTTAGATTGGGTCGGTTTTGATTGATTTATTAATATTTTCCGTCTTCTTATTTTTCGCTAATACCCAAATATATATTTTTCCTCCTTCTATGTGATGAAGATCAACTATTATTGATATTGTACCTTTTAAGATTTAGTTCATACAGTACTGTGAATAATTTGGCAAGTTTCCCGAGTGACACAAAAGTCTCTTTTTACAAATTTACACAATAACGATAAAGATAATGATAAATCAAATCGTTATATAAATAAGGATCTATCTCTTATCGTTCTCTCAAAAGTTTTTTTGTATTATAAAGAAATCGTTCAATTGATTTTATTTCTTTTTGGATTTTATCTCAACCTCTATCTAATAATTAAAAACCAAAAAACATTTTTTCGCGCGATTATACTTATTTTTATATATTCCGTATTGATTATTGTTCTATAGAATTTTCGTATATATTTAAAACAATAATAAAAAAATGGAAGCAGCGATCAAACAAAGTAGAAAGGCGTGTCCTTTTCTCCACAGAAACACGGCGGCAACACTACGAAAACTTTCTAGTATGCCTGCCCCCTCTTTTCATGAAGGAAAACAACAACAGCACCAACAGGGAGGCGCTCCTATGAACGCTCTTTTGTCGTTTGCCCAGAAATGTCCGGTTATGGGGAAGGCAATGGCCACCGTGCAACGCCGTCAAAGCTTATTGCATACATCGGCGAAACTGGCTAAACAACCCACTCGTCCATTGAATCAAGCGTCGATTGTTACCCACGAGAAGAATTTAATTGATGAACAAGCCGCCACCGCCGCCATCGCTTTGTTGAAAAAAAATGAATCCAAGCAACAAAAAAAAGGTAGGGAAACTAAACTGATTGCGATTAGTATTCAAAAAAAAAAAATCGTACGACAATTCAGTTACCAACCAAATTTTTAGTTTTTTGAAAATAAACTTTCTTTTGTTACACATGTTTAAATTTGTGTTACTGTATTACTTTCCTCTTTTATGAACTAACCATTGGGATTTACGTTATCCTTAGCTGGTAACTGCCCTTATCACAAAATTAAACAACCAGAACAGTCGCCAAACCATCATCATCATCAATTGCCAGCCACCCATTCAACCAACGCCATCTCGTTCGATTATGAATCTCTTTATCAACACGAACTCGACAAAAAGCATCAAGATAAAACTTATCGTTATTTCAATAACATTAATCGTCTCGCTCAGAAATTTCCAAAGGCTCACACTAAAGACCAACATGAAGAAGTTACTGTCTGGTGCAGCAATGATTATTTGGGAATGGGTAGAAACCAAATTGTTTTGGAAACTATGAAGTAAGATCTTTTTAAATTTAGATAATGTTCAATTTTACAACACTATTCTTATGTTCTTGTTCTATTACAGACATACTTTGGACAAATATGGGGCTGGTGCAGGCGGAACTCGGAATATCGCCGGAAATTGCAATCTCCATCTACAACTTGAAACAGAATTAGCCGATCTTCATCACAAACCGGCCGCGTTAGTCTTTACCTCGTGCTATGTTGCCAACGACGCTACATTAAGCACTTTAGCCTCAAAACTTCCAGGTTGTCATATCTTTTCCGATGCAGCTAATCACGCGTCAATGATTCAAGGAATCAAACATTCCGGCGCAAAGAAGACTATTTTTAAACATAACGATTTAGCCGATCTCGAAGCAAAACTTCAATCGGTCGATATTAATATCCCGAAAATAATAGCATTTGAAAGTGTTTATTCCATGTCGGGCACTGTGGGTCAAATTGACGCAATTTGTGATCTCGCAAAAAAGTATGGCGCAATTACGTTTTTGGATGAAGTCCATGCGGTTGGAATGTACGGACCACGTGGTGGAGGTGTCGCGGAACATTTGGATTTTGATTTGAATTCTCATATTCCGCACGCGAATAATGGCAGCGTACTTGATAAAGTCGATATTATTTCTGGTACACTTGGTAAAGCGTTTGGTATCGTCGGCGGTTACATTGCTGGATCAGCTAATTTGGTAGATATGATCCGTTCATATGCTCCAGGATTCATTTTTACCACGTCCCTTCCACCTGCAAACATCGCTGGCGCAATAGCATCAATTCAATATCTCAAAAAATCCTCCAAAGAACGACAAATGCAGCAATTAAACACCAGAATTCTCAAAGCTCGTCTCGCCGAACTCGACATCCCCGTCGTGCCAAATCCTTCTCACATCGTTCCTGTGCTTATAGGCGAGGCAGAGCCTTGCAAAATCGCTTCCGATCAATTGTTACGTGAACACGGGATTTACGTTCAATCAATCAATTATCCAACAGTTGCTAAAGGTGAAGAAAGACTACGAATCACTCCGACTCCTGGGCATAATTTGAAAATGATGGATTATTTAGTCGACGCTTTGGAAATTATCTGGCAAAAGAATGCGTTCAAACGTGTTAGTGATTGGCGGATTGAAGGTGGTCGTGCTGGTGTTGGTACGGGTGGTTCTATGCCGAAAACTATTTGGACAGATCATCAGTTGAATATTGTGCCGGGTAGCGGTGATGCAGCCCATCCCTATGTTACTGAGATCGCCGTCTAAACAGATGTTAGTATGTTAGTAATAATGATAATAACTTTATGTATTATTTAGAAAAGTAAATTATTTATTATTATTATCATATAAGCATCATCTTCATCTTTGTTTCTTTTTTCGATTATTTGAGCTTCTATTTGTTTGTTTATATCAGTTCTCTATTCATATAAAAACTTCCTATCAAGTTTATTTGTTAAAAAAAAGAAAATAAAATTGCTAACTAATAGATGATTCATAAAATTTTGCGAATCTTAACATTTAGCTAACTGGTTGAAGTATATTTGTTAAAGTAATTAAACAATAATCAAATCAGTAATTCAAGTCTAGACTTCAGAAAATTTATGGATGGCGGTTTTGACGAACTGTATCTATCACAATGATTTATATGTGAATCTACTATATAAAAATTCTTAAGCTAGTATCCGATAAAAGTTCATATCACAACAATATTATTAGATTTTATAGTATTTAACATTGTTATCAAGAATGATCAAGAACTAAATTACGTGACACATAATTATTCATGATTTGATTGGCTAATTATTATATAATCATATTTATTAGAAAAGTTAGCAAAGATATATTAGCAAAATTAGCATAATTATATTAGCTAAAGTAGTAGAATTACAGTGGCGATCAAAAGTAATGCAACGCAAAATTAAAAATCATTAAATCATGATATATTTATAAGTAGCTAACAAAATTTAAATAAAATTAATAAATATGGTACATTAATAATACCAGTTTTATTTAATAAAATTTAATTTACTATTATTAAACACAATTTCGAGATAATTATGCAAACTTGCACAAATTAGTGTTGCATTTCTTTTGATCTTTTATTTGGAAAATCAAATGATAAGTAAATGCTACACAGAAGTTACAAAATAAACAACTGTTTTATTTATCTTTTTTTTCCTTAAATTATGTTACAGCTTTTTAATAATAAAAAACAAACATCAAAATATCATACAACTCTTGAAGAAAGAGCTGAAATAATTATTTCACTTCAAAATAGATACACTACAAGAAAAATAGCAAGAACTTGTAAAATTAGTTCTTCTATCATCTTATATATTAATAAAAAATAGCATGAATAATGTATTTTAAATAATTTAAGTAAGTCTGGTCATTCACAATTATTAAATAACTGGTTAGAAAGAACAACAGTCCATCTTATTATATCCTGTAACTGCTCTATCACCATTGTCATCCAAAATTGTCTTCATAAAACTGAAAATATTGAAATTTCAGAGCATACTATTCATTATATACTAAAAAAAATGATTTAGTAGTGAGAATAAAACAAAAAAAACCATATTTAAAGTTCAAATACCAACATTATCATCTTGAGTTTGCCAAAAAATATAAAAACTAGACCTATAAAGATTGGTTAAAGATAATCTGGTCTGATGAATCTAAATTTCAGATTTTTAGATCTGATAGAAAACAATATTATTAGAAAAGAACAGATAAATAATTAAAAAGTTATCATATTAAATCTATAGTAAAATTTAGTGATGAAAAAGTAATGATATAGGATTATTTCATCTTTTATGATATTGGTAACTTTTATAAGATTAATAGAAACATGAATAACATATTATATCAACAAATTCTTGAAGATCTTATAAATATTATTGAAGAACATGGGTTAGCTATCAATGAAATTATTTTCCAATAGGATAATGATCCCAAACATACAGCCAATTTGATGAAAGAGTAGTTTAATAATAATAATATTATTATTTTAGATTGGTTAGCATAATCATCTGATCTAAATCCAATTAAACATTTATAAAATGAAGTAGATTGTTATCTTCAATATCTTTCTGGATTAATTTCAGATATGGAAGACTTATGAAAAAAAATATAGCTAGTTTGGAAGGAAATTGATATGGATTATTATATAAATTTAATTTGTTCTATATCAGAAAGGATTTATGACATAATAAAATCACATGGTGATTATACTAGATGGTAGTATATTAGGTATAGTTAAAAAATAAAAAAATATGATATTTTTATTTTATATTAAGGATTATATAAATTTATATTAAAAATGAGTAAATGTAATACAACACTAAAAATTGAATAAATATTATGATTGTAATATAATTAGTTTAATTATCTGCATTGAATTTATCATATTTAAGTTATTTACATATATGTAATTAAATCTATTAATTATAATTTGATATTCTTAAGTCTGTGTAAAGATATCATGATTTAATAATTTTTAATTTTGTGTTGTATTACTTTTGATTGCCACTGTAAATAATAAAAGTATTATAAAAAAATAAAAATTATTAATTAATAAAAAAATAGATATTATTTAGATATTTAATATCTTATAAAATAGATTAAGTATTAATTTATAGTATTTATCTTGTTAATAAATTATTTATTATATTATTATACTTTGAAATTAAATTAAATTTTAGCTAATTACAGTCAACTCTTTATATATCAATGTAAATATTTTTGACCTGATGTATTGATATAACAAGAGATTGATATATATTATAAACTAATATTTATAATAAAGTCATGAAAAAATTGATATATAAAAAACTTATATTCTAATTTTATTAAAAGTTATATTAAGAAATAAATATCTAAAAATTTGAATATTTTAAAAAAGTTTTTAAATTTAATAAGATATTATTATAAGTTAATTATTAAAAATAAATTTTATTTTGTAACTTTTTTACTTTTAAATAATATATTAATTATTAAATTTAGTTTAATTTTTATTTTTATATAGTTATCTCATATTATATAACTTTATTTTAATAAAATTATTCAAATTATCTTGTAATTTAGTTTTTAAATAATATTTAAAAATTATCTATTTAAAATTCTTTATTTTAAATATACTTTTTTTTAATTACAAAATTATCTGAGAAATTTTATAAAAATATAAATATATATTCTAGAGATTCTAATACTTTAATCAATAAAATAATAAAAAGATTTTTCTTATTAAAATTATACTAATTTTTAATCTTTGATAATCAAATACTTATAATAATAATATTATTAGTTAGTTTAATATTATTATTAATTAGAATATAATTAATATTAATATATTTATCTGCTATTATTAGTTTATTAAATGACAATCATCAAATTAATTATTAAATATCTTTATATTTGTATTTAATATTTATTACTAAATATATTTTAATAATATTATAAGTATTAGAAAGAAAATAAAATTTTTATTTTTTTTAATAATTTTTAATTATTTCTTATATAACTATACTCTATATATGATTAATAAAATTAATAGTATTTATAATTATTACAGATAAAATTATATTAGAATTTAATTTATATATTAAATAATATATTTTAATCTGATTTTTGACTAATAACTTATAATATTAAGTTTAATAAAAAAATAATTTATTAATATATAAATATAAATTAATTTTATTTAAAATTTATATTATTTTAAAAAAATTAATAATTTCTATATTATAAAATTATAAATAAGTTAGGGGGATGTCATTTATCATGTGATATTATTTAATTAATAGATTCACCTATTCATGTATAGTGTAATAATATAAAATAACATAATATAAATAATTAATATAATGTAAATTTGCATGAATTAATATGATATAAATCTGATATAGCATGGAATTGGACTACATTATCACAAAAATCCCAAATCACATGATATTGAACATGAAATCAGATCTTGTAATTAATGAAATATATGAATATATAAGATTAGTAAAGTTAATATATACAACCAGAATACAGTGATGCAAAATCTCAGATTGATGCATCATTAGGAAAGAATCTAATATAGAGTGTACTAATAAATTCAGAATATATGAAGATATACTAATAAGATGCTGACTAATAAATCAAAATAAAAATGATTCATTAGTCTTGATAATGTGAGATCATGATAAGAATAGTAGGAGAAAATTTGATTATAAATAAGAAGAGCTTTAGAGTAGAAGCAAAATAAAAATTATAATTAAGAAATAATTATCAAATAATTTACTATTATAATAAAGTTCTTATTAAATAAAATAAAAATTACTATTATTTCTAAATAAATGCATATATTTCTTTAAATTATTATTAATCTATTTCCATATTTTCTATTAATAAAGTAGTTTATCCTAAAATTATAAATACTAAATAATGAAATTATAATACTGTGATCAATAAATTATCTTCTTAGGCAAAAACTAGCATCATAACTTGGAGAATTTAATATTGATCAACAAAATTATAAATTAATTAATAGAAAACTAATTAGAAAATAACTCATGATCATCTAGTATTACAGATTATTTGGTAGATCTCTCATATCTATTCCACTAGATAATAATATGATGTAAATCTGCATTAATGATCTTTAATATTAAATACGTATTTTACATATTTTAGACTTTAATAAAATGCAAAGCTTTTTGACAAGTTCCAATTTTAACAAAAATTTCTTTTATAAAAAATCTATCAACTTGTATCAAGAGTTTTCAAATATTTATATATACTATAAATAAGCAATATATTCTAATATTAGTTCAAATTATCAAGAATTATTGAGAGAAGTATAAGCTATATGAAAACAAATTAAAAATTAAGATAAAGCTATTATTTGGGAACAAATTAAAATATATTTTACTATCTTATCTCATATAATTTAGTCTTATCAGAGTCTTGTAGTTTTGATATCTATTGCAAATTCTTCTATATTAACATCTGCATCCAGTATAACAGAAACTTTCTTACAAGTATTTAATAAGATAAATATTATTACTAAAAATATAATTAGATAAAATAACATTATTACCAAGATCAAAGAAGTAAGTTAATAATTATATACATATAAATAATCATATATACAGATGTCTAATAATGATTTAAGACAAGTATTAATAACTAAAATTGAAGAAAAAAAGAAAATTATTAACGAGAGCAAAGTAAAATTAGAGAAATTTAAATATCATACAGAAGCTTAAGCAAGACTTAGA